GGTGCCAAGAGGGGATGAGTCTTTCTAAGGTCAAAGAGTCCATGGCAGAGCTGGGGCTTCTTAGAAACTAGAGTTTAGATTCTAGACTCAGTTCAGGGCTCCAGCCTGTGGTTCCATCTCTGTGCTTTCTCTCCTGCTCTGGACCTTGGCTCCCACCATTCTCTCACCTGTGTCTGGCTGATCCCTTCTGTTCCTGCTCCTCTGTGTCTTGTCTTCTGGGTTTCTAGGCAGCTAGGATAATTAGTAAACTACTTTTTTTTTTTTTTAAAGAATTATCTTATTTATTTTTTTTTAGAATTATTCATTTATTTAATTCCATTTGCTATTATTATTATTTTAAATTTGACCAGAGATGGACAGAGAGAGAAAGGGAAATCTAGAAACCAAGCTGCCAGGTCCGAGACTAGAACTGTGGTCAGCCATGTGGGAATTCAATGCCTTTAACCACCACGCCACCTGCTGCCGCTATTATTAGTAGTATCATTATTATTATTTTTGGAGAGGTTTTTGCTATAGGGCTCGTGGTGTGGTCACCAAAAAGACAGAGAGACAGAGAGACAGAAAGCAAGAAATCACCCCCTGGGGGGATGGCCACGCCACAATCCCTTCTCCTCCATTCTCCTCTTGGGATCTTGGGCATGCACGGTGTGAGTTTAAGCTGCCAGGTCTGAGACTTGAACCACGGTCAACTACATGGGAGTCCAGCGACATAGCCATTATGCCAACTGCTGGTCCCTATTATTATTATTTTTATTTTGACCAGAGAACGACAGAGAGTGGGAAAGTGAGAAAGCAAGCTGCCAGGTCCAAGACTCGAACCACAGTCAGCCATGTGAAAGTCCAACCTCTCTAACCACCACATCACCTGCTGGCCTCTAATTACTAAACTTCTAATTGATCTCTGTCCTAACAAGGGTGGGTCTGGCAGGAGAGGCAGCAATTTAGAAACTATGTCAGGGGGTTGGCAAGAGAGAACAAATATGCTTTGGGGCCCATTATAAACCCCGTGTGGGGATCAGCAGTTAGTGTAATGGCTATATCACTGGACTCCCATGTAGTCTACTGCTGTTCGAGTGTCGGATCTGGTGGCTTAAACTCATGCCCGGCACGTGTGCGTGTGTGTGTGCCCAAGATCCCAAGAGGAGAATGGAAGAGAAGGGATTGTGGTGTGGCCATCCCCCAGGGGGTGATTTCTTGCTTTCTGTCTCATTGTCTCTGTCTTTCTGGCAAACGCACGTGCCCTATAGCAAAAAACCTCTCCAAAATAATAATAAAAACAAGTAAACCCCGTGTGAAGACATATATTTTATCTCATTCATCTTTTTAATCTTGCAAGATATGTATTTTTAGGGACAAGCAGTTAGCATAATGGTTATGTCGCTGGACTCCAGTCGACCACGGTTCAAGTCCTGGACCCAGTGGCTTAAACTCATGCCAGGCGTGTGTGTTTGTGCGTGCCTAAGATCCCAAGAGGAGAATGGAGGAGAAGGGATTGTGGCGTGGCCATCCCCCCTGCGGGGTGATTTCTTGCTTTCTGTCTCTCTGTCTCTCTGGCACAAGCACGTGCCTTAAAGCAAAAACCTCTCAAAAAAAAAAAAAAAAAAAGATACTTATTTTTAAAGACAAAGAGAGTGAGTGAGGCTCAGAGAGGTTGAGTAACTTGTGTGAGAGCACCCAGCTGGCCTATGGTAGCTGTATGGCTCCAAAACCTCCATTCTTCATCTTATCCCCAGCATAGGATCTAACACAGGGTAAGGGTTCCTATGGTTTGGGGCTCAAGCAAGTCCCAATCACACTGAAGACGGCCTCTTCTGTGAGGCTTTCCTCTAAACAGCGACTGCCTCCTCCTAGAACCCTCTCCTACCCTCTGAATCCCACCTTCCCCCGAGCCCCTTCTGCAGGGTGGGGAAATCTCACAGATGCAAGTTTTCACTCCAAGAGGGATAGGGAGGCAGTGATCCAAGAGAGAAAAAAGCCTGACAAACCCACACCATGGGGGTCTCCCTCCTGCTAACATCCACTCTGTTTTGTCTGCCCCTCCCCTTCGTGGGTCAAGGCTGCCAGTGTCTGTGTCTGGTTCATTGTACTCCGGGAGAAGGGGAGAGTCGGGGGTGAGTGGGTGTCTGTGCATGAACATAAGGCCTCCGGGTTCATTCTGACACTGAATGAGAAACTCACCAATTATTCGTCCGATCTCATTAATATGCAGACAGACATCTGTTATTTAGGAGTCAACAGCAGAGGCATTTTTCTTGGGGGGAGGGGCATGCATGTACATGTCTCTCTCTTCGACTGCAAGGGGGTTGGGGTGGCTGCTTGGGAATCACCCCACTCCTTTGGATCTCTCTGATCATCCCTCACAGCTTTGAGGAGAGCAAGCAAGGAGTTGACTGGAGGTAGAGGGAGACTTAGGAAGCTAGCAAGAAGGAGAAGGGCAGGAGGGAAGCCACGATGGATAGAAGAAACTTCTAGAACAAAGAGCTGAACCCCTTCCTGGGAAAGAAAATGTGGAGTAGTGGGAGAGGGTTGTACCAGGATTGCCTGCTGGGGCCTGGTGCTCGCTGGTATTCTCAGGGATGTGACTCCTTCCAGGCCACCTTCCTCAGCCCGCAGGACAAGTCTGGATGTCTGGGATGGGGTCATATGGCAACATGGGGTCCTCACCTTCAGAACAAACTAATGGGAGTTCAGAAATGGAGACCAAATGACCTCAACTTTTGGAGGAGTCAAAGCTCTCTCCAGCCTCCAGGACAGAGATACAGCCACCTTCCTTTCCTGTCTTTGACCTTCATCCAGTCTTCCAACCCCAGCACAGAACACCCGCTCCAAGAAGCCTTTCCTGATTTCTTCAGGCGCAGCTCAGAAACCCTGAAGCCTGTGCATCGTGGTTGTAAATGATGACATCAGCTTAGTTGACAGCTCAGCCCCTTTCCAAAGATCAAACAGCTTTTCTACATTCTCTTTCCTCTCTGAACCTTCCACAACAACACAATGAGGTCGATGTGGTGATCAGCCCCCCTTTCTAGGTGTGAAAACTGAGTGTCAGACAGGTGCTGGTCCTCGCCAAAGGCTGCCCAGGGAGGGAGCAACAGAGCTGGACCTGTGCCCTGGGACTTCCACCTCCAAATCTCCAGCCTTTTTTCCTTGACTGTCCCTCTTGGGAGGGCTGCAGTCACAAGAGGCTCAGCTGGTGTTGCAGGGGTTAGACCGGGTCTCCCCCTTCCCCCTCCTCTCTCTCCCCTCCTCGCTCTGAGGCTAGCTGATTGCCGAGGGTAAGAAACACTGGCAGCATCACAGCGTGATTAGTTGTTTATTTCATTAAATGATTAACGAGGCTACATTGTTTCCCAAACGAGTGTCTAATTTGTGGGGGAAACAGCTGCAGCAGAGGAAGCTGGGTCTGACTCCTGCATCTGGGGTAGGAGTGGAAGTACAATCCCCTCCCTCCAACCTGGAGGGGCCTTAGAGAATCAAGGAACACCCCCATTCCCTCCTCCCACCCTCTGGGATCCTCAGCCCAGAGGCACACCCTCCTCCCCAGAAATAAAAGGTCTGGCAACCCAAACCTACCAAGGGAACCCAAATTCGTTCCCGGTGGTATTGGAAATGTATTAAACTTTGGGGGTTCCTCCAGCTGATTTATCTTCCTAATTATGTCTGCTTTAGGCGGATATTGAAATGCGTTTGCATTCCCTGAGTGCAAACGGCAGGAAAGGGAGGTTGGGAGAAAAGGGGCACACTTTGGCGGCTGCAGGCTAGAGCCTGCTTTATACAGAGAAATCTGAAATGGGGAAAAGAAGCCACGTGCCACTCAATCCCAGATTGTTTTTTATGGGTCAGTCCTTGTGGAGGACGGATGGGTCAGTCCTCTGAGACAGAGGGGAGACCCGTCTAGCTGGACCTCAGAGCCCTAGTCCTCTCAGCCCAGGTCCTTGAGGAGGACCTTCGAGTCAGCCCCTAACCAGTTTGAAGGATTGGGTGTCCAGTGCCCTCCGAGTTATGCTGTAATTCTTGAGATCAATAGAGATGGGCCAGGACAGGTCTATAGGATGGGGAGGGAAGGGAGTGTCTGATAAGCCAGTGGGAATTTCTTTTCCTCTCAAGACTGTAACCTGGGATGGGGACAGGAGAAGCTATTTTAAGTGTCACATCTCAGGGCCAATCCCCCAGCCCCCGCACCGCGTTACTGTCACCTACATAACCATTAACCAACAAGTCTGATCACCTTACTCTCAGCTTAAAAATCTCTGTGGCTGCTCACATCCTCAGGATGAAGCCCTGGTTCCTTCGTGGGCCCTGCAGTAGCCTCAGTGTACCTTCCAGCTGTCTTCTGCTCTCCTGCCACGGGAGCCCCAGCCATGCCATGCTCCTCCTCAGTGTTTGCACATGCTCCACCCTCTCCCAGACTGCCCTTCCCTGCCTAGCAAATTCCTCTTCCATCCTCAGGACCAGGCTCCAGGACTGGCTTCCCAAGCTGTATGGAGCTCCCACTGCGCCCCGTATACATGCACAAACGGCGCTCAGCCCAGGCACCCTCACACCTGGGGTACCTCTCTTCCCCACTGGACTGGCCTCTGGAAGCTCAGAGACCGGTCCTTTCAGACTCCAGAGCCTGTGTGAGGCACACAGTTGGTGCTCAGTCCGTATTTGCTGAATGAGTGAGGAAGGGATGGGCAGTGAATCGGGGTGGGAGTCCCACAGATGGGAGTGTAGGGTCTGTGTTCTCTCCCAGAGTAAGTCTGGAAGTACTGGCTGGGGTTAGGGGGAGGGGAGAGCCAGGGATGGTTCCTGGGGGAGAATGTCACCGAAAAGAGGCCAGTGGGATCAGAGCCAGGGAGGGAATACAGGACAATCTGAAACCAGACTCTGGAGAACACAGACCAGTACTGTCCTGCCTGACAAGTGCCCTGGCCATCCCTCCCCCCTGCATCAGCCATCTTTCTCTAGGGGGGGGGGGGGGGGGACCCTAAACTTACAGCTGAAGCTTCCTTGAAAATCATCAAGGAGCTCAGGAAGGAAGCAGGGAGAGAGCCCCTGCCCCAGCCCCTGAGGAGACCCCAGCATAAAACTACTGGCCCCTTGGGAAACTATACTATACAAGGTCAGCGTCTGCGACATGGAGGCTTTCGATGCCCTTACCCCCTTGACCCCCAGGGTACCAGCGGGTCTCAAGCCAGGTGCAGAGATAGTGAGCAGGGGGCCCCACTCTAAGGGGCCCCAGTTGGCTGAGCGATGCTGAGTAATCGCACATCGGTCCACTCTGAACCCCCTCCCTCCAAAGGCCTGAGATTGCCCACCTCATTAACTGGGATGAACAGTCCCAAGACATCTCATTCTCCTACCTCTGACTCCTAAAAGAACACTTGACCCAACCCATGGCTTTTCCTCTGCTCCTTCTGTACCTGTGGACAGGAAAATTCTCCCTGAGGTCTAATCTTCCCTCCTGCTGTTAGAGATTGGTAGGTTGTTTTTGTTTGTTTGTTTAAGCAAGAAAACTAAAGCCACAGCTGTTTTCCATGGTCATGGGCTTTATTGGGGGCTGCTGGGGGAAGAGAGGGAGAGAGCTAGGGCTGATGGGTTGATGACTGGTTGGTTTTTAATTTAGTGCATGTTGCTTGGAGGTTAGGATATGTGAGAACAGCTGTGGAAGTGAGACGGGAGAAGAACAGAAGGTCATAGAATGGGCCTTTCCTTAGGGAAGAACCAGGACCAGGATATGGGAACTAGGGTTGGGAGGGAAGGTACCCATAAGAGGAGAGTCAACCAAGGTCACTGCTTGATGCCAACTTCCCTAGCCCCTCCTGTCCCATCGCAGTTTATGCCTGCCCCAACAGCTTTCAGGGAAGAGGTGGGGGATGAGGATGAGGGGTATGGTTGGTGACATCCTTCTACCCCTTAGCTCCCCTGTCCTGGAGAACTGCTGCTTCTGCCTGCCCTGACCTCCCAGCCAGGGCAGTGGGACAACTGTGCCCCTCACCACCTCTCCTCACACCCTGCCCCACCCTAGCCCCTCACATGAGGTTGCAGCTCTTGGCTCGATCTTTGTGTATCTCGCCCTCGGTCCCCCGGTCTGGCCGTCCTGACAGCTGAGCAGATCGCTGCAGTCCCCGGCGTGAGTCAGTACGGCGCAGCTGCCTATGGCCACGGCCAAGAGAGGCCACTGTGGCCACGTGGAAGACATCCCTGACGCTGCGCTCAGAGGACCTGGAGGAGCACTCAACGTAGGATACAGCTCCCACCTGCTTGGCCAGAACAGTGCCCTGGAAAAGAAGCACATTGGGTTTAGCCTGCAGCTCAGCAAGGGGCATGGCATCTGTGAGCTGCAGTTGAAGGTCAGGGTAGGGAGGTAAAGGGATCAGGTCAGAGGTCAGAGTCAGGGCAAGGGAAGAGCTGGGTAAAGGTGTTTTCAAGTCGGAGACTGAGAAGGCAGAGGTGAGGTCTAGACTGGGATGGGGTCAGAAGTCAAGGTTCCCACCTGCTCATGTGTAACAGGGATAAGCCTCTGCTTGGACAGCTCTCTCAGTGTGGCCAGGTCAGTCCGCATGTCCAGTTTACAGCCAACCAGCACAACCTTGGCATTGGGGCAAAACTCCTGAGTCTCCCCCTGCCACTGTGGAGGGGGGAGAAAACAGAGTTAAGCAGGGGTCGAAGGAGGCAGAGTGAACCCTCGCTTCCAGCATGTCCTTCACAGAAGGCAGAAACGTGTGTCCCTCCAGACTCTCCCACGTAAGGAAGGAGGTGTGGGGAGCAGGCTGGTCCTGGGGCACCATGAGGTGTGAGAAAAGGGGAAGAGGGCTGGGTCTGTGTGGCTGGGACCTTTCTTCTCCCAGTGGCCAGGAAGGATCTGGCAGCCTGGAACCTTCCCATTCCCACTCCCCTTTCCCATACTCTCTCCTGGGAACAGACTAATCCCGCCCTCCCTCCCGGCCTGGGAGCTGAGGCTGCCCTAGCTGACTTCTGTCCATTCACCACAGGCTTTTCTCATGGAAATAGGGACCTGAAGGGACCACAGGATTTCCAGAGCTCCAGGATCAGCGTTCCCATCCCTTGCATCTGAGGCTCCTACACCCAAGGAGATGAAGAAGGCAGATAAGGAATCCCTGAAGTACCCTCCTTCTTCCCCCACCTCCCCCCACTGCAGTATCCAGCCCGGATTTTCAGGAAGAGGAGGGTGCAAGGAGTGGGATGAGAGGAGATGAGCGCTTCACCCGCTATCCAGCTTATGGCCATGCCCCAGATATCACTCCCTCCTCTTGGCACGGGGTGTCAGGACCATGGTATCTGGTGCCCCTCGGTCTAGCTGCCTGCTTCCCCAGGCTCCCACCTTCTTGAGGACACTGTCCAGTGTCTCTGGCCGGCTAATGTCAAAGCAGATGAGCACAGCGTCAGAATCAGGATATGCCAGAGGTCGGACATTATCATAGTAAGAGGAACCTGAGGGAAGACAGGAGTAGAAGGGACAATCAAGGGACCTGAGTAGAGGGGAGGCTCAGAGGGAATAGGAGACCTTAGTCAAGAACTGCTGGGAGCAGAGAATGGAAAAGAGCATCACTAATACCCTCACAGGGTGTTTCTCCAAGGAGGGGAGCAGGAGGGGAGGGAAGATAGTGGGGAACAGAGGTTTCTCTAAAGTACCATTTTTTTTTTCTTTTCAGGTTTTTGCTATAGGGAGCTTGCCAGAGACAG